CTAGCAGCATCTGCAGGCACATTTGATGGCCCTCCCAAACCGGCACTTCCCGAACCCTGAGCAGGGGGCTGGCTACGTCGCTTCTTAATATCCTTTGCAGGTTCCTTCACGTTAAACTGGCCAAGAGGAGGCATCTTGACATCGCGGTTTTGAGTCTGGAGCAGCGTGGAAGAATTTGCATATCCGGGCTCTCCCCGTATATTACTGATGGGTGTAGCTTCTTCCGCTGACTGGCGAGCTGCTGCTTGTGCTTTTGCCTGGGCGGCAGATTCGGGGAGAAACTGCTTGAAATCTTCGAGAAGGTCCGGTGCGGAATTAAAAAGGATTGTGACTTGGGCGTATACGTCTTGGATTGGCTTTGACTCTCGTTGATATGTTTGGAGGATTTCGAGGAACTGTTTATAGGTATCGGGAGAATCGGCAAAGCGGTTCTAGTGAAAGGAACAGTGTAAGTCAGCTATATTTATTCCGGCAACAAAGGAGGAAGACGATAATGCTGAAATTGCCGTTCGTTCAATATAAAGGTCACCTACCTTGATCTTATTAACGTAACTGATGGCATGGTTAAACTCAACCGGTCCACGTTTACTCATATCCCCTTGCACACCCTGTAGCACACCAGATCCCAAACCAGCAAGGCTATTAATAGGCTGGTTTGGTCCAGGAGTCTGCATGCTGCCCATATTTAACCCTGATGACCGACCAGATGTCGCCGTTGCAGCCGAAACTGCGCTCTGCAACTGAGAAACACCTCGTTGTTCCTGCTGATGCGCTATAGTCGCAGCGTTGCTTGACGCCTGCTGATCCTGCTGACCTGGATACTCATAACCAGGCTCCTGTGGCTGATTTTGTACACCTTGCTTTCCGCCGTAAATACCGGATGGCATTATATGGCTTTTAGGGGAATATGGACTGGGACCTAAGTTCATTCTCGAAATTGGCTGAGGCTGTTGCCCTTGCGCGGGTTGTTGTTGCCATCCTGCGCGAGACTGGTCGTAGTAGTCCGTTGCTGCGGGGGGCACAGGACCACCTGAGGGCGCAGCGTCACCTGTTGCTTCTAGAGATGGCCGCACTGCTGACTGCATTGAAATGGTATTTGTGCCGGACGGAGTTGTCACTCGGATTGTATCTGGGTTATCCTCAGTGCCACATTCGATGCGATATCCCGGTGGCAGGAAGGTATTAAAGCCCTGAATAAGTGCGGGATGGCCGTTAAAAAGCGTGGAAACTCGTTGGATAACACCAGGAGTGTCGATTCTGGGGAGAGTTAGTATCCGCTCATTTACCACTTAATCTTCCCTTGGGTCATCTTACGCTTGGCTTTTGAAATCTTTCATGATATCGAGGAATCGGTTATAGACATCAGGCTGTTCAACAAACCTAACTTTAACCTGATCAAGGTAACTTAACGCATCCTGTATTGGGAACGCCATTTAGTAAAGACTGTTCAAAGGTTTTGCTTATGATATAGCAGAGAGAATCAAACACCAAACAAAAAAAAAAGGAGACAATTAAGTTTATAATGCCAGATGCAGTTGTGTTTCTAGAAGTGAATGTGCGGTTTGAGCAAAACTTTCAGAGAATGAGGTGAGTAGATAGTCCTTCAGATACTGCCAAGAGATCTCGAAAGATATTTCCCATCCTCAGCAGTTTATTGACTTCATGCTCAACGATTCCCTCCCCAGAAAATCTTGCTTCAAAAGAATACCCTCATAACCCCACACATATATTCTTTGCGTGTGTAAGGTTTCGGATTGGGTGGAATTTCTAAGAGTGGTATGTATTTGGCAAAAAAGAAAGGAACCAAATACAACAGCCTCCTCCAGAGTGAGATTTCAACTTACATTTAATATTGGTTGTTGTCCTTGCGCTAAAGCAGCAACACTTCCAGATATCTGGGGAGGTGCAGAACCGTTGAACCCAAGCACTGATTGCTGAGAGGGTTGGCCCTGGTGGAGGTATGTTCGTGGAGGTCCATCTGCGTGTTGCATCTGGTTCCCAAAGAGAGGTCCAGACCCATTCGAGCTGGGCATAGTTCCTTGTGGGGGGTTATTAGAGGCGTTTGAACTCATATTAGAAAGGAGACCATTGGGTCCGCCAAGCGGGTTGTGACCTTTCGACGCGACAGGTTGGTGAATGGGAATCGGGCCGGTATGGCTTTGAACAGGATGATGTGGCTGTTCGCGATTATACCGGTCCATGAGGTCCCTATCTCGTTCTCGTTCTCGTTCCCGGTATTCGCGCTCTCGTTGTATCATTTCCTCCTCACGTACCATTTCCATCTGTTGTTCAAGTTCCAGCTCACGATCCCGCTCTCGCGAATCTCTTTCGCGATCCCGATTCATAGAAGGCTGTTGGGGCGAATGTTGCATGGACTGACCAATACCAGGAAGGGGATGCCCCGGGGGATGGGACGGTTGTTGGTGTTGGCCATATCTGGGGGGTGGTTGGTGTGACGCTGGTGGGGCGCCAGTGCCTTGGGTTATGTCTGATAAGGTAGGGAGGGTATGCCCGGATGACTGGCTGACGGGGTGATAAGGACCTTACGTAGAACACACGAGTTAGTTGCTGCAAAATTCTTCGCGTCTAGAATGTGTCCATTGATCATCCTCCGCACAGCTCTGGGTTATGATGCTGCACTGTGCATCTCTGTCGCGCCAAAGCAGGCAAAGTGGGATAGAATACACACTGTCACGTCAAGAAAGTATATATTAGCATCAAGACATCAACAAAGAATGCCGCACAGCCTATCACGGTGATGAAATCATGAGACTTCCTTGTGCGAAAAATGGGAACAACGACTTACCCATAAGAACCTAGGGGTCGGTTTGGGGGCTGGTTCATCTGGTCAACTCCAAGATGGGGTTGCGACCCACCTCCTGCAGAGTGCCAGGCATCTTTATTTGATGGATTCATTCCGTTTGCGTGAAGAAAAGAATATAGTTCTGGAAGGAAAGAGGTGTGCTCCAGGATAGGGAAAAGTGGGAGGGGCTGCTAATTTTTGTAGTTTTTGTTGGCGTTTACAAGGCAATACTGGGCAAGGAGACAGATAAGTGGTATGTATACTCCGCAGAAAGGGCTCAACAGACCGGGGATAACGGGGGCATAGTAGCAGGCTAAAGGAACAGAATATATCCCGACATGGTATGCGACCAAGGACAGCAGAGAAGAACGACTCAACAAGCGGAGGCGGAGAAGTTGAAACTGCTCAACAAAAGAACGCTGGAAGGATGAATGATGATGTTGCTGCTGACCGCCCTGGGAGGAGAATCGCAACGGGTCGATTTTTCTGCCGCTCCCTACCACGGCGCGATCGGGTTTAGCAACTGCCAGGGGCCTGGGTACACGCTAGTCCTTGGCTGAAGGCGGCCGATTGGCGGAACCAGGGAATCATGACACGTGATCTCTGCTGGATTTCTAGCACAAAACTTGGGCCAGACGCCAAGAACGGACAACCGCACAAATTGCTCTAATATTTTCGAACTTTTTGCAAGCTGACATCATCCAGCTAGTAACTAACTAACTATATGGAGCGAGAGGTTTTAAAATGAAGAAAGGGCAAAGGGGAGAGATGTCATGGACCGGATGAAAATGAATGATTGCCCAAAGGAAGTAAAAACCAAAGGTTTCGGCGGTTGGAAAGCAAAGAGTATCGCTAGTGAATATGGTATTATTACATGTGTGTTTTAATTGGCGTTATATCAAATCGAGAGTGGATAGAAGGAGTAAGGGTGCAAAAAGACACTACAGGGTATTTGCATGGTAATGTGTCTAATCACTCTCCTCATGGCCTTGGATGGCCAATGCCGTTCAACACTTACGACATCCCCCTCCTCCTTTGGTCTCATCAAGCCACTCTCTTTCTTGACTTTTTCGTTAACCTCCACAACATTCGCAAACGACCCGTTTCTCACAGCGCTGGATAACGCAGCGCATTGAATGAGCCTTGTTGTCCTTTGTCCTTGGCATTGAATATCATGTACCAGTATAACAGCGTCTGTCGTCCATAGAGCTCGTCAGCGTGAGCTTTTTCGTCTGGCTCAAGAGACTCGTAATCGTCCGGCAAGTGGGTTTGGCGTAATCCTGCGGAGGCTCTGAGTCCCGTGTTTTCGAATAAGGGGGGGATGCCCTGCCGCCAGCAGCAGAGGGAGGATGGTCGTGTGTTGCCAATCAATTATACATGATACCTCGCACGATTAAGAGACGTAGAGATTTGTCGGGTTAAGATCTATGATTTGTTTCCGTTTGTTATTCAAATTTGCAATTTGGCATGTAAAGCGGCTCTTGGGGCCGCTCACCTGGATGATGGGTTGATTCCAAGCATGCCCAGCTTTGTTATCGTCCTCCGATAAGAGGTAAGGTCAAAATGCCAGATACCTATCTAGCAAATCCACATATATCTCAGGTGCGACTTATCCCGTGAGCATATCATCATGCGGAAAATGATTGACCGAGGCTTTCCCGTACTTACTGGTACATTCCCTCTCTTTCCAACCGATGGAATAGAGATAATCGTGGGGAGTGCTCCCTATTCTGAGAAAAGTGGAAAACCCCATTGGTCAGGGTATTATGGGTAAATAAATATATTAAACTACCGCAACTGGACATGGAAACAAATTTGTTCACAAGGACCCCTATTTATATTAAACTGTGCAAGTTTTCCACGCCAGAGCATATAATCTAACCGTGGGCCCGATGAAAATCGACGAGCGTCTCCATCCTTGCCTTCAGTTCCGGAAGCATAAAAATCTACCTGCAAGTTCTGGGCAATGATGGTTTTGTCTTTGTAGTAAATACTCCCATACGAACCAAAGCGTAACAAAAAACAGCTTGCGTTCAATATCCACATAGTTGGTAACGAAGCGGATTTGTTTCCTTGCCAGTAAGAATGAACCAACGGTCTTTCAAGGGAATTCCGATGGCCTTCTCCGTGACAATATACTCCATCCCCATGTCATTTTGCGTGTGAGAAGACCAAGCAACCACTCGTGGAGACTGGTATGCCTTTTGAGCGTAGGAAGTCTAGTGTTGCGACTTCACTCTTCAGTCGCGAGTTGTTTGGGAACAGTGATGGAGTATGGAATCTTGACGATGACTTCTACGACATCGTCCATGGTAAGAAGTACTCTGTAAAACCCGCCTTCTGCAAGTTTCCTCACGTGGGCGACCTTTTCGCGATTTGCGCTCTGCACTGCAATCTTGTTGAGGACTAAAAAGGTATGGCCTCTGGAGGAGTTTGTGCAAAGTGTCGCAGAGCCGGATCATATGAATATATATATATATATATATATATATATATAATGCCAGGTAGAAGAGCGATAACTTTTAACGCGAGGTATCACTGGCTTTATTCTTGCCAACATGTCGAGCGCCCGGTGGTTGAATAACCTAACAAGATCAAAATATATCTGTAACCAGCTCACGCAACCAGCAGGCAAACTTGTCCGGATATCTACACGAGATCCACGTGACAGGATTTAGCCGGCTTTGTCCGGTTGTTAGGCTCTGATGACGAATATCGCGTATGAATCTCCGTTCGATGATCATCCCATCCGGGAGGGGAGGTTAGCTACGCTATATAGTTACGGGCTATCTAGATCACGTGCAGCTGGGGATCGTAACAAACCGGTCAAGGCCGGCTAACAATAGGGCGCCTGTGTCTCATCCCATCAATCTACGCATATGTAGCGGAACAGTGTCTCCAGCCTCCGTATCTTGGAACCAATGGGATGTAAGTAATAGTGACGGCCCAGTGCACTGTATCCCGCCTGATAGGCTCTATCTGGCTGGAACAGTTGGTGGGAATGATAGTTATGTTTATTTGTGCCGAAATCCTCTCAGAATATATTTTCGATTGTTATTTGCTGGATATAAGGAGTCAGGAAGGAATCAACTGAGAAGCTTACAACGTCAAGTTCAAGAGCAGATCAGCGCTTGCTGAAACCTCGGAGATTCAAGTCTATGGCCATAAACTGCCAGTTGCAAAAGTCTCTGTTTTCAAAGAAATGAGAGGGCAAGCCGTGTCCAGGGTTGCCATTCTACAAATCTTTCCCGGCGTGAAACGATTCAACTTGTTCTGCCAAGCCAAATGTCAATACGACGGTGTCCTATCAGAACAAGCTCTTGGTGGTTAGAAATACTTTTTTTTCGGGGCAACGGTTGAAGGCCTATCGTCAATGGTGGTAGCCTCTGCTTTCTCCATGTTTAAAAAAGCGGAGGATGAATCTTTCGTACCGCCTTCCACGGCAAAATGAAGTGAGCATTCAGTCCCTCACAATCACTGCACAGAAATGGGTGTCCTTCAATCGCAATGCTCCCAGTGCATTTTATTCAAATAGTCGTTGTCTCTGCACATATCCTTGGATTTGCCTTGGGATTGTTACAAGATTCTTAATTTCTCTTACAAACATCCTCTTGCTTGATACCCAAAACCACTCCATTTTCGGAAACACCGCTTGATTTCAAAATAGGCAAGTTTTAGTCAAAAACTCATGTTCGCCGTCTAAAGTATCATATTGTGGTCGGCCGACATCCGCAATTGTTTTTCGCCCACCGCCTCTAGAGGGCCAGACCGTTTGGCCGAAGACCACCGCGGATATCCTTTGATGTGGAGTCAGACAGAAACTGCGACGGAACTGCCATCCGTACGGAGTAGACTGTCATCGCTACCAATTTCAGCCGAATGCGGGTGAACCTCCGAGCACCATCAAGGAATGGCGTAACAAAAATGGCGGAACTCAATGCTGTCATCGCGGTAATGCATATATATCCCAGTTGGCGCTGAGCCTGACGGAAAGGTTATAGAAACTGGGGCCATCGAAGCTGTCTCGAAGATTCCGTGAGGTGACAGCGTGATTGCCGAAAGCTTGCTACATGCTGTGATCAGAGAAAGGGATAAATAGTTCGCTGTTCGGTTCTACAAGGGTGTTTTGTAGGGTTTACAATGCTTAGGAAAGGTGGGCCTAAATGCACTCTCTCATGTGTATGAAAGAGAGCATCCAGATTTTTATATGGAATACTTGCTGGTAGTCTCTCAGCTATTCGTATCATGCCAGTCAAAGTGTATAATTATATAGGAGGTATTTTCAGTGCTTGATCAAAGACTGTTTTAACTCGAGAAGTAATATTTAAGTGTTTCAGAACTTCATGAGATGTTACATTGTGCGTGAATCAGAAGGTATGCAATTAGTTAACATGTGAAAGTTGATTTAGAATCAGATGTTGGCTATGTGACTAACTTACCATGACACTTATTTTAGATTCAGTTTAATTAATTACGTAACTATTTAAATTTTCATTATCCTTTGAGCAAAGGAAGCTTTCCCCTATTATTTATGAGGAAAGTGGGAAACCTTATCTCCAGATTTTAAAACCCCGCAAGGAGTGGTTATATACGGAGTACATCGTAGTTATTCCTTGTTAACTTCTAATCAAAAAGCCAGTTTCTTATTAATATTCAGTCTATAAATCAAATTAAATCTCAAGTGTTAAAGCCACTATTAGAGTGAACAATATATCTATTACTATAGTGTTTGATAGACTACGTAAATTAAAGACAGGATTGACTTTAATCAGAAACTAATTATTATAAAAAAAAGTCCTTAGATTAAATAATCTCTATATGAGAGTAAATAGTTTATCTTTTGATTTATAATTTTGTAATAGATGATTGATCTACTACTTGGAAAGTTTAAATTTAATATTTCTAATACTATAGAAATTAATCAAGTCGATAAATTAATTAAATAGTACTTTTAACTAGTGGTTAAAATTTTCATATAAATATAACATTTAATAAACAATAAATAAGAATTTAATCCTTTTATGAAAATATTCAATTGATAAATACTAATACTTTTAAAATGTAGTGATGAGAATATATAAAAGACTATAGTTATATAACTTTAAGATTAACATTTTAATAAGAGTTATCTGAATGAATTTAGTAATGATCATATCTATAAAAGAAAATAAATCAAACTTTTATAGAGTTGGAAAATAGAGAATAAATAACTATAATTAAAACAATTGATATCATAAATTGAGCTTTATATATGATAATTATACTGAAAAACAAGTTTTATAAAGACTTAGAATATAAGCAGTAGATATCAAATGATTAAGTAATTATTATTAATGATAAAAGTTAAATTAGAAATAAGTTTAACTTCATATGATTATGAAAAATATCTAGTTAACTACCTAGTTAATAGATACTGAAATCTTACTTAATTGATAAATATATAGTTATATAAACTACTAAATATTAATAACTATAATAGTGTATAATAAAAAATGAAATAAAACATCAGATTAGAGAGATTAATTCCATAAAAAGAAAAAAATATTAGTAGCACAAAATATATACCAGCAATAGACTTAATGCTGTTTCACTTAAGTAAAATTCTTACTTCATTATATACTACATTCAATTTTTAAATTCTTGAATCAATGTATAAATTTTATAAATTCTACTGCTTTTTTTTCAAGATTTCTTATAGTATAATTCAATTGAAACAAGAGAACAACAAGACTAGATATTACACAAATACATCTTCTAGTCTCACCAATCAAGCTTCTAATCCGCTAGTTAAATATGTCTATTGATTATATACAGTGGTACTATTCTAATATAAAAAGAATATGAAGCTGAGAGTTATCAACACCAGACAGAAGCAATAAAGGGAAATATAGCTGAAGAAATCCTAACCACTTATAAAGAATTAGCTAGTACTTTATAGAAAGATGAAGGAATTATATCTAAGGACTGGAAATTGAAGGAACCCTTAGCTATAGCAAAAGTAATATTTGGCAGTGCCCACAGGCAGAAGAGCGACAAATTTTCAAGTTAAGCATCACCACCACGAGGAATTATATATAGTAATTAATTATATAGGAAAAGGAATCTGAATTGATTGGGGGGGGGGGGTGTTTTGTTCGGAAAGGAAGGTAGGTGGTATGAATTTCTCTGGTTTACCCGGTAACCAACTACCTTATTAATGCGATACACTGACTGGCTACAAATTCCTGGGGACTTTGGGGGAAAAGTGGCGATTGCCTTAATGTAGACTAGCGGCGTAAAAATGGCCACCCTGATACAGGATACGGGGTACTTTTCGATGTCAGGGTTGCTTTCTTGTGCCCGCCAAATGAGTGCTACGACGCATTTGGACCTCGGCCGAGATCGAGCCAAGGAAGAATCAAGGTCGGCTGTGAACCAGGTACCTTCCCAAAGCTGCTCTCCATGCCTTCGACTGCAAAGCCGCATCTTGCCGTTAGAATCGCCAGGCTTCATCTTTCCATCTTTCCATCCTCCTCTTTTCATCCTTGACTTTCTCTTCTCTTCTACCCATCTGCGAAACTCTTAACCATCCCTATATCCTCTCCGTGTGAACTACAGCGCACCTAGCATACCGTATCAGACACCCCTCTTCCGCTTCTTCTTCTTCTTCTTCTTCTTCTTCTTCTTCTTCTACCTAATCAGCAACCATGCCTTCCAGAGTTATCGTCGTCGGCGGTGGATGTGAGTTGCTTCAGAGCTCCTTTCCATCGGGATCCCTCTATTTCTCCTGGATGAATACAGCTTTACTGACGATAGTGGTGCTATAGTGTCGGGCCTCAGCGCAGCTCACACAGTCTATCTGAACGGTGGCAATGTGCTCGTTCTTGACAAGCAAAGTAGGCCGCATCTTTTAATCAACCTAATACAACTCTCTTCTCCACCTTCTTACGTTCCCGCCAAAATGTAATTCATTGATTATCGAGCTAATCCTGTGCAGACTTCTTTGGCGGTAACTCCACCAAGGCCACCTCCGGTATCAATGGTGCTCTCACGCGGACACAAACCGAACTGGGCATTGCCGATAGCGTCAAGCAGTTCTATGAGGATACTCTCAAATCTGCCAGAGACAAGGCCCGCCCGGATCTAATCAAGGTTCTTACTTATAACTCTGCCTCTGCTATCCATTGGTTGCAGGAGATCTTCAACCTTGATCTTACTCTTGTTTCACGGCTTGGGTGCGTATATGACCATTTCACATCTTAATGCTCGTTGGTTGGATGATGTTGGGGAGAAGCAATTCCAGAATATTGACAGCTGATTGATAAAATAGGGGACATTCGTTTCCCCGTACGCATCGTGGTCATGATGCCAAATTCCCCGGTATGGCTATCACATATGCTCTGATGCAGCGTCTCGAAGAGCTTACGGAGAGTGAGCCACACCGCGTCCAGGTGCTTAAGAAGGCTAGAGTCACCGCAGTGAATAAGGAAGGAAACACCATCACTGGCGTCACTTATGAACACAATGGCGAGACTCACATCGCTGACGGTGTCGTGATCTTGGCTACTGGTGGATACGCAGCTGATTTCACAGAAGATTCCCTCCTGAAGAAATGGAGACCAGACACCTACAACTTGCCCAGCACTAACGGTGTCCATGCCACTGGTGACGGCCAAAAGATGCTCATGGCTATTGGCGCTAATGGTATCGATATGGACAAGGTCCAGGTCCACCCTACCGGTCTTGTTGATCCTAAGGATTCTGACTCCAAGTGGAAGTTCCTGGCTGCTGAAGGTATATCCAACCCCTGAATGTTCCTATATAGTTGCTTTTCGAGGACGACATTTTTACTAATAACGATGATTTAGCTCTCCGTGGTGAGGGAGGTCTTCTCCTTAACTCTGATGGTCAGCGATTTGCCGATGAACTGGGGCACCGAGACTATGTTTCCGGTGAAATGTGGAAGGAAAAGGAGAAGGGCAAGTGGCCCATCCGCCTCATCCTCAACAGCAAAGCCTCTAATGTTCTCGACTTCCACACCCGCCACTATGCCGGCCGTGGCCTGATGAAGAAGATGACCGGCAAAGAGCTGGCTAAGGAAATCGGTTGCGGAGAAGCTGCGCTCAAAAAGACCTTCGACGACTACAACCAGATTGCCGACGGCAAGATGCAGGATCCATTTGGGAAGAAGTTCTTCCACAATGGCCCCGTGAAAATCGATGATACCTTCTACGTCGCCCTGATGCAGCCCGTCCTCCATTTCACCATGGGTGGAATCGAGATCAATGACAAGGCCCAAGTCCTCAACTCAGAGAAGAAGCCGTTCGAGGGTCTGTTCGCCTGCGGTGAGCTTGCTGGTGGTGTTCATGGAGCCAACCGGCTTGGTGGATCCTCCCTGCTAGGCTGTGTTGTCTACGGCCGTGTTGCCGGTGACTCCGCAAGCCAATATCTCTTGCAGCAAGTTCTCTCCAACCCCTCTGCGGCAGCTTCGTCCCGTCTGAACCAGATCTCCCTCCACATCGACCCATCCCAGCCAGGTAAGGTTTCCGTTGAATGGACCTCTCCATCCGGCGGAAGCAGTGGCGCGAAATCCATCCAAGCTGCTCCCGTTCCTACTGCAGCAGCAGGAAAGTCTGCCGCACCTGCCAAGGCCGCAGATAATGTCGCAGACGTCGCAAACTTCAAGGTCCCGGACAAGGAGTTTACCATGGAAGAGGTCGCGAAGCACAACAAGAAGGATGATCTGTGGATCGTCGTCAAGGGCGTCGTGATGGATGTCACCAACTGGCTCGAAGAGCACCCTGGTGGAGCCCAGGCGCTCTTTAGCCATATGGGCAAAGATGCGTCGGAAGGTAAGAAACCCAATCCGCTTTTTGTCTCCATTAGAATCTGTTTCCGTACATGTCGTCTGTAGCAAAGTCTTTTCGAATCAGCTGCTAACAAATAACCTCTAATTTAGAATTCGAAATGCTCCACGACGATGAAGTCATCCCCAAATATGCTGCTGGTATCGTCATCGGACGCGTCAAGGGCCAGACACCCAGCCTGGAATACTAAATAAATCCATTAGCTGAAACTCCATTGACACTCCGTCTTCCAACCTCTTCTATCCCATTGCGCCCTTAAAACGATCATGACGTTTTCCACCTTACAGACAGCATTCGTGAGAGCCGCCCCCTTTGTACATTTATTCACATAAACATCCTCACTACCATTTTCCTTCCAAGTAAGAGAGAAAGAAATTGCATGGAGCTCGACGGTGGCAGGTTTCTTCCTTACCACCAGACGCTTTTCCATGTATCCTGTTTTGTTTACTGTCTTTTGCTAGTTTTGCCGTGTTTGTACTTCGTAAGTGCGATTTTTTGACATCTCTAACTACCTCCGTTCTTGTATGCAGGAGTGTAGTTTCCTATTTTTGTGAGTGCATATATTTTTTAAGATATTTCTGCTATGCTTCGTGCGTGTTTTTAGAATGAATGAAATACAACCTTTTCTTCCTTTACTTTTCATCTCGAGAGAATGGAAGTGACCTTGCATCTGTTGTACCCTCCTCCATCCTGACTTAGATGTCTTGTGGGGCTGCAGCCCAGATGCCAAGACTAGTTAGCAATCGCTGCTATTGCATCTATCGAGTATTCATATTTGATTGCGTACGTAGATACAAACTGATGTTTATGCCCAGCACTTCAGATATCTGACAATGTCCCCGCACCTCTCAGTGATGTTTTGTGAAAGACATTAGATATTTCGATACCAGTGTTTTGCACCACCTCTTAATGCAGCAGGGACAGGACAACGTTTATTCAGTGCGTAAAGTTACTACTGCTTTTATTTTTGAGATCCATCAATACTAAATCTTCTATGCAGCGATGTCCTGGAGCCATTCACAAGGCATCATTCGATTGATGCCCTCCCCATTTCCGTATTATCCTCAGGGAATAAAATTCTCCTCCTTTTTGACTCCTGGGAATTGGGGCTAGCATGTCGCCCAAGGATTTTCAACCCAAAGCAGATACGCCACCCGTTAACGCGCTCCGCGATGCGGGATCGATTATTTCGGAGAAAGCAAATCTTCATGAACTGGCTCGTGAGGGCATCTCCGTTTCTTCTTATGCGGGCCAAACTCTGGATCCTCACGATCTGACACGCACGCCTGGCGGGAGCTCCGGTGGAACCAGTGCGGCTATTGCAGCTAGCCTTCGCCATATTCGGCACAGGGATTGATACGGTTAACTCGTTGAGGAGTCCCGCGAGTGCAAATAGTTTGTTTAGCATCCGTCCCACTCGTGGCCTTATTTCTCGGCATGGAGTCATTCCCGTGTCGTATACTCAAGATAAACCAGGCCCGATTGGCAGATCATTGGAAGATGGGGCTACTGCTCTCACGGTCATGGCGAATATTGGATATGATCCCAGAGACAACACGACGGCCCTTGTCCCGAAATCTGTGGTGGGTGCGGATTGCACCAGAGCATTACGTGGAGGACGATTGAAAGGGGGTTCCACTGGGTTTAGTCGAGGGCTTTTTCAACCGCACCGTAGACCCTGAGACAACTCCAGTGAACAACGCGATGGATGCTATGGTATCAAAACTGCGGGCTGTGGGCGCTACTGTTGTCTCTATCGGCGAACAGATCTACAACTCAAGCACGATTTCGGGAAACTTAGATGTCCAGAAGTTCACGTTCCGCGAACTTATGGATTTGTACCTGCAAGGTGAATCGCTTGGAGGTTCCCACCCTTCAAACCTGTAGGAGCTGTACAGCAGCGGAAATTATCTCGTTATGCCTAGTCAACATTCTTATGTGAATATCGCCTTCGTCTCATAAACAAGCAACTCAACGTATGCATTAAAACAATACGGAATCAAAAACATCGAACTTGCACGACAAGCTGCTTTCAAAACTCATTCATTGGATGATCTTATATACCCAGAGCAGCAAACCCTCGTGAAAATCGGCTCCCCCTCACATCCGGTCGGAATGGCATTCTAGGCGCCCTTACAGGATTACCAGCCGTCACGATTCCCGCGGGATTTTAGCAAAGATGCACCAAATGGCGTACCTATCGGAATGGAGATCCTGGGATTGCAGTGGATAGACCTGAAGCTGCTGGATATTGCGAGCCGGATTGGGCAGCTGTGAAAAGTCAGACGGATGCCAAAGTTGGTTTCACTGCCTGTACGGCCTAAGAAGAATGGTGTCGTACCTACTAATATCCCAAATTTAGAAGATATTCTTGAAGAGTATGCGATTGACAAGCTGGGGAATGAGTAATCCAGTTTTAGCCGGGGTGATATAGGGTTGTGTATTATCCTGTGTCAATTCTCAGTAAGAAACCGTCAATGGTTGTTTCGTTGGAGAATATAGAGCCCGGCTCATTGAGATCACTAATATTTTTACATGCATCAATATCTACATTTTCCTTTCAGGGAGAATTCAGTTATCTAGTTTTTAGGTTCTTAGAACAACCTTGGAAGCCATTCCGTAATTGATCTTCTCATTGACCAGCCGCCACTGCAAACATCGTTTACTGAGGCATCGTCTCCGGGGTCGGCTTCCACGGTACGTAGAAGGAAGTGTATGCAATGTCAACGCTATTGAGATATACCTTACCGTGAAGCTAAGGAATTGATTTTATCATCGTCGAGTTGGGATCAATGGACATACCTAGGAACAGGAACAGTATGAACAGCTAACTACCGCCTTACAGGATCACCCAGTAAGAAATTTTATGGAATGCATCAGTTTCTTTTCCAGAATGCCTGTAGTTTGACGTAGCTACAGAGTACTTCTGGCACATACATGTCTTGTGTAACTGGTCAACACAGCAACGGGTGTTGCACAACGCATTCAATGCCCCTCAATCCCCTCAATTCCCTCAACCCCCTCAATGCCCTCAATCAACAATCTCCAGCTCTCTCGACTTTCATTCTCCCTGCAACCTTCTTCCATCTTTTTAACTCCACTCCTTGTTACTTCTATCCCTTCGTTATCCAACCTAATCCTTCGCTATTTTCCAATCTGATCACTATGGGGGCACCAGATTCGCATTTCATCACTCTCCTTACACTCCCATTTAGAGAGAACGTATCCGAACCCCGCAATGCTGTAGCAGAATGGATGAACAAACTCCGCACATCATTGGCGCAGGGTGATGCATCCGACTTAGAAAAGCTCTTCCATAAAGATGCGTGGCTTCGAGATATGGTGGTTCTATCTTGGGACCTTCGGACTATTCATGGTGCAGACAGGATAGTCGCTTACTTCCAGGATAACTTGGAGAGAGGAAGGTTTAGACAGTTTCATGCCAGGGACTCTAGTCAGTTCCAACCGGCGTTTAAGACTGCTGCTCCAGGATTACAATGGATTGAGACCATGTTTGAGTTTGAAACGGAGATCGCGAAGGGATCTGGGGTTCTTCGACTTGTCCTGGATACCGATGATGTTTGGAAAGCCTACCTGCTCAGCTTCACTTTGATGGCTTTGAAAGGGCATGAAGAGAAGTCTGGCTTCAGTCGTCCCGAGGGAGGAAGCAATTCTCTGCTTGAAAACTCACATAGAGAGAATTGGGCAGAGAGACGAATCAGAGAGAAGAGCTTCAAGGAATATGAGCCTACAGTCCTCGTTATAGGAGCGGGTATGTACCAAGTCAAAGTCTCCATCTGCCGCGTGAGATGATGGCCGTGTTGACACAATGATTCTGCAGGGCAATCGGGCCTCATGGTCGGTGCTAGACTGGGTCAACTGGGAATCCCGACCTTGATAATCGAGCGCAATGCTAGAATTGGCGATAACTGGCGCAAGCGATACAGGGTAAGTAGAGATAACAAGCCGGAAAAGTGACAGGCCTATCATACTGAAACATGGTGAACTACAGACTCTGGTAACTCATGACCCGGTCCAGTATTGCCATATGCCCTATCTGCCATTCCCGTCCACTTGGCCCACGTTTACCCCCAAGGACAAGTTGGCTGATTGGCTTGAAGCGTATGCCAGCTTAATGGAGCTCAATGTGTGGACCAGCACGGACGCCGCGAGCAGCAGCTTTGACGAAAGTTCAAAAATATGGACTGTAACAGTCCGTTCGGAAGACGGTTCTATTCGCACCCTTCACCCACGCCACATCATCCTAGCCACAGGCCATTCTGGAGAACCTCAGATCCCCAGCATCCCTGGCCAGGAAATCTTCAAGGGTGCAGTGTATCATTCTACACAGCACAAAGACGCTTCCGGGTACGAAGATATCAAAAACAAAAATGTCATCGTTGTTGGCACTGGTAATAGCGCCCATGACATTGCGCAAAACTTCTACGAGGCCGGCGCAGACGTAACTATGCTCCAGCGGGGTGGGACCTTTGTGATCTCCCAGAAGAAAGGGACGGCTGCATTATTGGCAGGCATGTACGACGAGTCCGGTCCGCCCAGCGACGATGCGGATACCTACGTGCAGAGCATGCCTATCCCCGTGCAATTTGTCTTCTCCTCCTTGACAACAAAGATGATCCGTCAGAGCCTCGATAAAGATATGCTTGATGACTTATCGCGAGTGAGGTTTAAGCTCGATGCTTGCAGTGATGGGGCGGGCATTTTCAGAAAGTATCTCACTCGTGGAGGTGGGTATTATATTGATATCGGATGTAGCCAACTGATTATCGATGGGAAGGTGAAAGTTCAGCAGAGTGAGGGGGGTATTGAGCGGTTTGAACCCCATGGTTTGGTGCTCGCGGACGGGAATGGGACGAAGCTTGCTGCTGACATTGTGGTGCTGGCGACGGGGTATGACAATATGAAGAGTACCGCAAGGAAGATTATGGGTGATAAGGTTGCTGAGAAGCTTTTGCCGGCATGGAATTTGGATGAGGAGGGGGAGCTTAACGCCGTAAGATGCATTGGGATTTCATTATTTTTCCTCATTCATCCCCTGATTCCTTGATGCTTTCATAGTGCTGCTCACTGATACGATATGGTTCTCGATAGATATGGCGATACAGCGGCCACCCTAACTTCTGGTACATGGGTGGCAATTTGGCTCTGGGTCGTTTGTACTCACGCCTGCTGGCACTGCAGATTAAGGGAATGGAGGAAGGGCTATATGTTCCTCCTCGCGGGAAGGAGTAATTAGTGTTCTGATGCATAGGATGGTGAGATGCATTGATGAATGCTGCCTTTAATTGCTGGGTATCCGAATATGGGATTAGTTCTGGGGGAGAGAAATGGCTTTTTTTCCGCGTAGCTATTAGGTAAATATATCCACCTGTCAATTCGACTGGAATCGGATGCGTATTCTGTTTGTCCTTTGATATATGGCTTAGGTACTGAGATGCGCATGAGTTTATGGGGGAGAATGGCAGGTGGCTTCACGACTAGGGACAGCAATATTTCCACGCCTTGCACCTAAGGGCACGCGTGGGTCCTGGAAAGGGGATTTGCGCTGGGATATTCCTGAACGCGTCTCCATACTCTTTGAAGAAATATCCCTGTACCCCACGTATACAAATAGCTTGAGGGAATCGTCGCAAATCGTATATATTCAAGATGTCCAAACCCCTATTTCCGCAATAAAAACATCGCTTCCGCAAGTAAAATATACATCTAGAAAATACCTTCCGCAGCAAATCAACATTAAGTAGGTATATATACAACCCTCCCCTATCCGCTACAATCTCGCCCTCAAATGCCCCAGAACCAGCCTCAGCCTCTTCACCGCAGGCCCATCGTCCATAATCTCTCCCTTTTCCCCCATCTCCTTCCTCACCGCCTCCACATATGGCTTTAGAAATCCCCACACCGTATCCTGGTACGTCTGGTCAGCTTCCAACCACTCTGCTACACCGGGAAGTTGCGTCCAGTCGCAATCTTGTTGTTGTATAGCTGAAAGTATGGAAGCGATATCTGGGATTAGACTGAGTTGGCTGGGGAGAAAGGTGGGGATTGATGTTGTGGATGTGGATGTGAAGGGTGGTTTGGATAGAGGAGTGGGACTTATCGGGGAGGAGGAATGGGGGAGCATGGACGTGTCGAGCTCGAAGAGTTCGGATTGTGGAGATTCTGGAGGTGTGAAGGCGGCTGATTGAAAGGAGGGTGAGGATAGGAGGGAAACGACTGCTTGGCCATCGGTGGGGTTGGGGGTGTAGATGTGGTTATTGTTGTGATTGTGCGCCGTGTTTGGAGTGTAGGGGCTGTGCCAGGCGTAGTCGAAGTTGCCAGGTTGGTCTGGGGTGGTGGTGGAGGAGGAGGTGGTGGTGCGAATGAGGTCTGTTTCTTCTTGTGATTTCCTTTTCCCTTTCCCTTTCACGCTAGATAGATCGTAGGCGTTTAGGAGGAGTGTGTCATTGTTCGCGGTGTTGTTCTGCGTAGAGTCCTGGAATTGTTCCCAGGCTTTATTATCTTCATTGTGCACGTGTGATGTTGATGACGGCGTAGAACGAAATGATTCTGAAGGGAACCTTCGATCTCCGCCAGCTCGAGTTGACGGCTGCACCAGACCTAATCCGTGAGACTGGAGGATATTCCCTGAAGTTGAGGAGCTGGCTTGTAGTGGTGCGTGAGAAGAGGACGATAAGCTGCCTTTTCCGGAGAAGGTTAATCCAGCGGCAAGGGTTGAGGCTATATCGTCTGCGATAGAGCGGGACGAGGGACCTGAGAAGGTATTATATAGCAGTCCTGTTGCGGAATCTTGTATCCTGCTGGCCATTGAAGGGATTTTCGAGGAGGAATCGGATGAGGGATCAGAGGAGGAACCAGAGGATGAATGCAGTGGCTTTTCTTGTTGTTGAGAATCCCGCTGCGGCGGTATCTGAGGGCCCGCGGGAGGGATTGGGGGAGTATTATTATGCATTGTTATTCTTTTCTTTTATGTTATTTTCTCCCACCACTGGGAGTGTTTTTTCATTGATAAGATATTTTCTCATTCATCCTGCAGGATTGATGTTAGTTTGTCGATTTTCGCTGGTTTGTATGATGGGGATTTTTTTTTAAGCTGGACTGAAGAAAGGTACGTATGGGGAATGTAATTAACTTAAGGATATCCCCTACCGTAAAATAAACGTATATTATCCAAAATAGGCTGGTGTGTCTGTATAGAATTTGCCATCGTACATATGAAGTAGCGAGATAAGAGGTTTGAACATCAGGAGCCGACTTAAGTTGGTTCCATCTCTTTAGGTTAGCTAACTACATGTGAATGCTGGGCGCCACAGATTGTAGAAGCAATTAACTGAACTATCCTAGTTAGTTAATTAAGGAATCTCATAATACATACGTAGTTCAATGACCTAGATATCTCTTCGCTAGGTATATCTTATGGAAGCAGAAACGCCAGTTAAAACAAAAAACAAAAATCATTAAAAATAGATCCATGTACTCCAGATATTTTGCATGGCGTGATGGTAGGTATTTCCAGGTACATCTCCTCAGGAACACGGCCGCGAGATACCCGTGCGATACCTGTTGGTACAACAAACGCCCTGTGCCCTTTCTGCCCTGTTGAGCCTCATCCAACATCTTCAATTTCAACTTCACCTTTTCTTTTCCTCCCTCTCAAGTAACATATCTCCATCCTTCTCCATCCTGGCCACCCCCCCCCCTCCTCCCACTCCCCTTCTACAATTTATACTCTTGACCTCTCTACTCAACCTCTGTCCATCCTCTGTCTTGCACCACCTTTTCTCTTCTGTCCCCGAGTTTTCTTCTCTTTTTCCTCGCCATCCTGTCTTGTGTTGTTGTTTTAGCTCCTCTTTTCTTCCCTCATCCACTCTAACATCACACTCTATCTCTCCCTCTTCTCTTACCCGCAGTCGCGTCTAAATCTCCCACCGTTCATACTCACAATTCATCCACTTTGCTCGCACAGTAAGTAGCTATTCTTTACTGCTACGTGGTTTTCCCTTTGTTGTCTGCTGTTAATTACTTCTCCTTGCCCTCGTTCCCTCTACTTTTGTCTGACGCCTTACCTCTCCTTGACTTGCTTTGCTGCTTGTGCCTGCCCGTCTGGCATAGCAGGATCCATCCCACATCAACATCTAACAAACTGCAAATTCGTATACAATAACTAGGCCACTATATAGTTATATACTGACGCTGTGCATTGTCTCTGCTAGTCATCCAACCCCTTCCATAGACCACCTCCACTCTTCCTAACCACTGTCTCCATCGGTCTACACTCATCTTAACTCCTCTTTCTACCGTCTCTCTTCGCTCCGTTTTCATCCTTCCCCACCGTTTCGCGCCATCCGCCATCTTAGTCTCCGATCTTGCAATCTTATCACATCCAACTTCGCAGATAGATAAATAAAATAGTCGAGCTACAGACTTTCTTGGGGCTTTTGGTTGTGTCTTGTCCAGCCCATAAAAGAGAGCTGTCCTTGAAAGATGGTAGACAGAGATCCAGGTTCGCCTACCTGGAAGTTTACACAGTAAGGTGCTCCCGTTGTCTTCCGCCTGGGTTGTCCATCTACGGCCAGTAGGCAATGCATATTAGACCCTTCTTGTCGCCATGCTCCCCCCGGTTCCGTCAGCCTTGCCCCTCCTCAGCTATTTCTGCTTCTGCGGCGTCTTGCTGGGAAAGCTGACGGTATGTTAAATATACCTAAGAAATTCTGACACTTTGAAAACAGATGCTTCGGCGATAAAGGCGATGTGGAAGATATCACAGATGGTTTGACTCCCATTCTTTTCTATCGTTCTCACATTCCTCACAAATATTCGATCCATTTGATCCTAATATACCTTTGACAATTCCCCAACATCCACCACGGTCAGGGCTGATGTGACTCGTTTCTCTACAGCTGATATCATATCAACGGTCGAGTTCGATCACACGGGAAACTACCTTGCAACAGGCGACAAAGGGGGACGAGTAGTATTATTCGAGAGAAATGAGACGGTACGTTATCACCATGGACGGCCTTCCTATCATCCGTTTGCTATAGTGCATGAAAAGCTGACTTTGTTACAAGAAAAAAACCTGCGAATATAAATTCCACACCGAGTTCCAATCTCACGAGCCGGAATTCGATTACCTAAAATCTTTAGAGATTGAAGAGAAAATCAACAAAATAAAATGGTGCAGGCGGCAAAATGCGTCTCATTACCTCCTATCCACCAATGATAAGACTATAAAGTTGTGGAAGGTGTTTGATAAGTCGTTAAAGGTTGTCGCGGAGAACAACCTCTCCCATGATCTGACCCCGGCAGGTGCAGTGGTTGGAGGAGGCATGCCCCGCGCTCCACTTATTTCCTTCCGCGATGCCTCATCGCTCAAACTGCCACGGCTCACACACCATGACACCGTAGTCGCCGCAGTGCCTCGCCGTATCTACGCTAACGCCCATGCCTACCATATCAATAGCATATCCGTGAACAGCGATGGTGAAACATTCATCAGCAGTGATGATCTCCGAATCAATCTGTGGAACCTGAATATCCAAGACCAAAGCTTCAACATTGTCGATATTAAACCTGCAAACATGGAAGAACTGACCGAAGTAATAACTGCTGCAGAGTTCCATCCCACTAGTTGTAATTGGTTCATGTATGCTAGCTCCAAGGGAACCATCAAGCTTGCGGATATGAGGCAGAGCGCACTCTGCGACCAGCATCACAAACGTAAGTCTTCGACCTTTGGTCGCCTTTTCGAGGTTTGGCTCTTGATATCTTTTCGCATTCCTTCTTTACCCTAGCTTCTAACTGCTCCATTTTCCTCGTTATATAGAGTTTGAACAAGAAGAAGATGCGTCGTCACGCTCTTTCTTTTCTGAAATCATCTCTTCCATCTCCGATGTCCGATTCTCAAGCGATGGACGCTACATATTATCCCGCGACTACCTAACCGTCAAAATATGGGATGTGAACATGGAAAGGCAGCCCGTAAAAACGATCTCGATCCATGAACACCTCCGCCCCCGCCTTTGCGATACGTACGAAAATGATAGTATCTTTGACAAGTTCGAGGTGGTCTTCTCGGGTGATTCGGAGAACGTCATGACCGGCAGCTACAACAACAATTTCATGATTTACCCCTCCGATCCCAACAAGGAGACAGAAGTTGTCTTGCAGGCAGACAAGACCGCATTCAAGGCTAAGAAAGTTGGCATACCGACTCCCATCAACAATTCTGTGTCTAGTAAAAAAGGCGGGTCAAGAGCTGGCAGTCCTGCTGGTGCGGGTGGCCGGATGAGGAGGGAAACGGACGCAGATCAGACCGATTTTAATAGGAAGATCTTACACATGAGCTGGCATCCGTTTGAGGATAGTATCGCGATCGCAGCTACCAACAATGTAAATTCATCTCCTCTTACCCCTTCCCTCAGTAACATACTTTCTTTTCTCATCCCAGGAACACTAACCTTTATGCCACCGTCTATAGCTCTTCGTATTCTCCGCGCTGTGAGCACTTCCCAGTCAAAAGAAGGAAAGAAGAAACCAAATAATAAACAATGCTTGTTGCCCCGCTTGCAACATGTTGTCTCCCCTTCATTCTATCTCCCTTCCTCCCTTCTCCAGCCTCTCCCAACCCGCACGCAACCTATCTATCTATGCAGACAATCAAATCTACCTTTAGCAAAAACTATACAGTTTATTCCTGTTATCGTCAGGATCCATTGGCAGAGGTCACCTTGCGCAAAACAATATACACTTCTATTCTTTTTAATTATGCCCATTTTTTTTTTCTTGAAAAAAAAGGAGAGAGAGAGAGAGAGAGAGAGAGAGATTCTCGCCCTGACCTGACCTGATACTCCCTTGCGTAGCGGGCTTTCACAGTCGAGGGGTAGTTCCCATTCTTTCTTTCCTTTTTTTTTTTTCCCAATCACTATCTTTTGTTTAGAAGACGAAGTAGCAGCTAAAGTTGTATCTTTTCCACCCGCACACAAATCACCAACTCCTCTGCCTATGAAATATCAAGAGGATGACACGTGAAATGAGAGGTTTGAATGAAAAGGAAACGAAAAATTAATACAAAAAAGAAGTTAATCAGAAAAAATAATCAAAGGGAGGTTGGATGGCAAGGGAAGGTATATTAAAAGGAAACGAAAACACATACAACATACTACGCTACACACGTCAAACTACTGTGCATAACTAATAGTCTGGGGGTGATTACAAGACCTGCTGCTGCTGCTGCTGGGAAACGGGAGACTGAAGACAAGGATCACGCAAACGCAAATGCAATACGCTAATAGAGAAATGGAAGTGAGAAAAACGGGGAGGGGGAGATTTAGGCATATGTGTCTTTTTGTCTTTTTCATCCTTTTGTTCGATGCGGATAACTTATGAGCGAGAGGTGAAGTTAGCTGAAGAAAGGGTTCAACTACACTAATTTTCCTTCCTTCTTTTGCTTCCTCACTGTTTCCACTCTGTTGGTCGGAACTTGGACTGGACTGGACTGGGTTGGTGTTTTACATATGTTACTTTCTTCTTTTATTTTCTTGCCTTGTTTCTTATCCTTTAATCATAAAGAATGGGGTGTCTCTGTTATCTCTTCCTTGCCTTTTTATTTTCTTTTCTGTGGTAGTTAACGTGAGTATAAACACCTGCAGCTTCCGCTCTCACATCCCGCTTCCCCACACCCCCATTCGCCCGCCAACCAACTAACCAACCATTCCCCCTTAAACCCGTTTCCACTCTTATGGCTTCTCCCCGTTTCTTCCGCGTTAATTGGAGGATGAAACTCAATTAAATTAATAAAGAGGTGGTTGAATGGATCCTTTTCGATTGGTCTTACCGTACCCTTTCTTTTGGAGGGATTGGGATCATGATGGCCTTTTGCAATACAACTGCTCAATCAGCACGTAAGACAACTAGATCTATACACCTCCGTGAAACAACTCTATGCTTTCACCCGCATCGCAGTATGTCGCATGTTCTATGCGGAACAGTAGCGAGTTGATATTTACTGTAACAGTCGGATTACATGTAGAACACTGAACGATCGTTCTAACTTGGCTTCAAAACCTGTTCTGCTGCTCGTCGAAATTTTGTGTGATATCATCTCATCTAAACATAAACCTTTTCGCCAGAGATGGTGCAAATTAAGGTATTCAGCTAGGTACTGTGCTGGAGGAAAATACAGGATTTGGCCCCCTTTTTTTACCTTTTGCGTTTCAGTTAACTTCCCATTTGCGTACTGGCGAAGATCTACAATGTCAAAAATATTAGTTATGGACTGTTCCGAATTCTCATGGTATTCTGTTAAATGAGATATCCCAAAAATAATTTGTGGCATAGAGAGAAAACATACAGGAAACTCATCTATGATAGCAGCAGCCACCCTCTCAACTTCCTCCACTAAATGTTGAACGCCAGCATCCCAGACTTTTAAACTGCGTCCCGCTGCCTCTGCCCCCGGACCTACACCGGGGATTCCCGAGTCGAAATAAATCACACCCTCAATCTGGTCGATGCTGCCCTTTAATCTCCCTTGCCCGAGCATGCGTGCAGCATATGTTTCCGCTTTCTCACCAGCACTTATATCACCGCTCGCCTTAAGCCCGAGAATGTTACCCAACGCTTCCATAGGGATATTTTCGTACAGTCGACTCGCAGCCAGAAGGTTATGTTCGATGACAGCTCTATCCAGCACAGTTGATCCATCCGCCGTCACAGCGAGTTGGTGCGGCACCAGCTTCCGCGCGAAAGCCTTCACTTCCTCGGGCATGAGTAGCCTGTCCATGAATATCTTCTCCAATATATTGTACGCATCGAGGGACGAAGACCGGTCATCTTTGTAAAGGCGGGACAAGGTACGAGAACGTTGGGGGCCGGCGGGCCCCAGAACGGCACATACAATCGCAGCAGAGAGTGCCTGGAGCCTGTCCTCTTCCACGATTTCTCCCGATAAGCTTATATTGAGATATTGCTGACTGGCATCAAGGAATCTGCGGTTAAAATCTGAAATGCGTGCCTGCGAGAGCTCGAAGTGAAGTTTCAGCTCTGGATCTCTGATCTTGGTTGGCATGTTTTTGACTCTGTTTAGGAAGCTCTCTGCGTTCGCGGTATCGTCTTCTTCTAGATATAGACGCACAATGCGAATCCACAGGCGCACTTTTTCATCATCGGACATCAGGTGTTGAGAACTGTCAAAACGGATCGCCTGTAGCACTCTGGCCGCCTGTACAAATTGCTGCTCAGCCTCGAACGCGTCGGCAAGAATCTCCCGCAGAGCTGTGTCCTGAGCCTCCGCAGAAGTCGAGTGAGATTGAATCTTCGATAGGGCATCCTGGCCAACGTTGATTATGACTTGTGAGGGTAGTTTTCGCAGTGAGTCTATGAAGTTATCGAGGAGGGGTCGGGCAGCGACGATTCCGACGCTATCGCCAAGTATGGAGTTTAGGAAGGCGATGAGATTGGGTTCGACGCTCGGGGAGGACGGGGATGATATTATTTTCGAGAGGAGTTCATTGTAGAGCTGTGGTTTGTTCTGTTGGTTTGAAGTTGCTTCGATTGAAGTCAGGGCAGAGATGACATCGGGCTCCGCCATTGCGAACCGGTAGGGTGAAGGTGGGGGATAGGGTGATGAGTCGACACTGCAAATTGGAATCAGACTATTTAAGGAAATGCATTGTATCAGGTGAAAGAATGAGAGAGAAGCTGCTTAAGTGGAGACATTGTTGGATATGATGTACTCCTATTTGTATCGACCTAGGGATGTTTGATGTTGTTGAGAGCTACCTGGAGTGCGGAGAAAGCTATCCTGATTAGTCATCTTGTTTAGTAAGGACCAAGATATAATATAATTTTTAATTATAATTCTAGTAATTAGCATATCATGATCTATTTAATTCAGCGGATTTGCCGAGGAATTTAGGTGCCTACTTGTCAATTTTAATATTTTACGTGATATCATGTTCTCCACGTTATCCTAACTTGGTTGATGGCACCAACCACTCGCTATAGTTATATCGATCGCATCGAGTGAAATACCACGCATTGCGAAATGTGTATTCCTAGGGAGTCAACTCATTCATTAATTTACTAATAAGGGATGACACAATCTACCTGTTGCTTGTCGGTTAGAGTGATTCAGGCTGTCGTACAGTGTCAATTCTACTATAGAAAGTAAATATTTACCATGATTTTGATTTGGTGGTGAAACTGTTTCCAGTGGCGTTTAACCCCAAAACCTGTGATTGAACGAAGAAGAGATAACATGTTCCGGAGGACACCGGTTAGAAGCCATGATATTCTCACAATACAACAGGCACACTCATTTTGACCGCGGCAATTTTAAGCTTAAGTGTTCATCCGTTGCTTAGTTACTCTGTTTAGTGCGAGAAAATCTCACCAATAATAAATATGTATATCTACGATCTGCTATACGAATGATTTATCCAAATTAGCATCGACAACATGACCGATCTTCTCGATATGTAGAAAAGTCCTAATCATTAGCCAGGTACGGAACCGGAACAAATTCCCACGAAGATATAAAAATGTCGGCCAGGCAAGCATTCACTGAGATGCAGAAAAGCTTACATATCTCTAAGGGCGATAGCATCTTGATATAGTAAATGCGAACCGGCCGTAAGCTTACCTTCTTGGAAAGAACTCAAAATCCAGATTACAATCAATAGTTCTGACAGTTTGGGAGAGGTGAATGGAACGTCACAATCAAAGACTGTTTTCAGGAATGTAGTCTGTTTTCTTTTATCTGAGGCTCTGTGATATATTTCCTCTTTCGTGCTGTACACACATAGTGATGGAGTTGAACCTTTGATACCTGCCAACTTGTATCAAATCACCGCGCTAAGATATCAGTTGCGGAGTGGGTGGATTCCACTATATTATGACAGTCTATCAATGTTAGCATTTTGTGGCCTCATACAACTTGGAGGGCATAGCTTGTTGGATTGTTGGCTCAAATTGGAGAATTCGAGTTAGACTTTGGTATCTTCGCTTGACATTAAAGTTATTTTATAAAAACATTTCGAAGAAGAAAAAAAATCATCTCCAATAAGCCTTCGTTGAGTTCATGTAAAATTAGAAGTAATTTGGTCGCTGTTGATACTAGATCTTCGTATAGGACGCCGTACCCTGTTACTCCACCAAGTTCATATAGATCGACATTTGGCCCCAATCCTATACTACATTTTCGAACGCAACGTTGGACTCGTCCTCGTCCGCATCCGTACCAATCCCTGACGCGGTCGGTTCTCCGTCCGAGTCGAAATTGTAGCCGGAGGTGGGGGGGAGTTCCTCCTTAGCGTCTTTGTAGGCCAAAGCATCAGCATAGTTGCTTTCCCTGGCCTCTGGTTTGAGTTCCCAAGTCATAGCGAAATCCCCGCTTTTGACAAGATGAGCCACCATCTCCAAGGTTTGTTTGAGGTACGATTCTGGTTGTTTCAGTTCTGCTTTGAGAGACTTAAATGGCCAGTACTTGTGTCGCCGGAAACAGCCATATATAAGATCCAGCAGCTCGTTTTGTGGCATACGGGCGGTTTTGTTTTCTTGAGCGCGTGCCTTTGGAGGTTTTGCAACTTGCTGTTCGACGAATTAGGATATGAAGTCTAAAACAACATGATTTATGTAAAGAGGGAAACGGAGTTTGACTTACTATGAAAGTAGATTTATCGGCAGCTGCAACGGTTTTGGGCTTGAGCATCTCACCGCTAACTTTACCGATATATAATGTTTCGCGTTTGGGCTTGAGGAAGTCGAGTGCTCTGGCTTCTGCCATGCGCTGGTATTGCTCGTTTTCTACCGGAAGGCAATTAAACTCATCACGTACGACACCAACAATTGCCGTTTGTTCTATCAATAGAGAGATAGAAATGGTCAACACTTTGACATATACACTCAATAATGCGAAAGAAACCAATACAACATACTTGGTATGGTCTTCCGCGTATAAGGCTCCCACTTCTTGCGTGGGTTTCGTTTTCTCGAATCGCGCTTTGTCTGTTCGTAAAGATATGAACGGCCATGAGGCTGGGCCTCATTGAACAGAATGTGAGACCTATCTCGATGCCCCGGTAGATCCTTTTCGGTGAAAACAAATGTATTGTGCACGGGGAATGCCGTCTTATCCGCATTAACATTTTGTCGCCGCAGGTTGTAATCCCTTGGAACGCCCTTCATCTGGGGCATATCGTTTAACCGCATGCTAACCTATTAGCGCAGAGGAGGTCAGCACTTCTTCTCACCCTTCTTTGTCTCCTCCTTCATAAGCTTATCGTCAGAAGCGGCATGAAAGCTGGAGCGCATACTCGTTTTATGTCCGTTGGCCCGCCTTCTACCCTAATTGTGCCAATCTGTACCTCCTCGTCATCTTCCAACCTTGACCAATTCTCCCAAAGCATTTTCGGTATACGCGTCAGCCAGACATCTTGCATAGCATTGGAAAAGTCCAAATCTCCCGTATCTTCGTAGATGTCATCGTCGGATATAGCACCTGCGAGCTCAGGTTTAGCATCCGGGTCAGTCTTGATCATTGGGATCGAGCTTGCTTCTGTTTTGACTTGTTGGCCTCCAGGGCCTGTTCCAGATGTCATGTCGCAAGCTAAGCCCGAGGAAGATATCCGTCGTACTTGAAAATTAGTTCGGTGAAAGTACTAAGATGACAAGTCGTATTCAAAAGCGTGCCGCAGCGGTGACGATGACGATTCCTTTTCCAGAGGGGTGTCTAAGAGACCGTGGGTATTCGCAGTTTGCTTAGCCCTTTCGCGGGGGTGAAATCAAGTCCCGATAATCAGTGATGTGAAGGAATGTCTGGCTTTTGGTATGAGAAAGGTTGCATCCGACGGAGGAAAAGCTTGGGATACTATTACTTCAAAGTAGAGGGGAGCATCAACACTGCGAGGTGGCGGCATCGGAATGATGTCGTCCAGAAGGGATATATCACGTGATTTTATTTAGCGCCGCCTTGTCAATAAGAACAAGTTCATCACTGCCGTCTCAACATCAATTTCTTCAACTTCAACATCAACGTGAACTTTGCATATAACTCTTTACACAAACCACAGTAACGCTTAGAGCCAAGTTCGCTATGACAGAAGACCAAGATCTGTTGGCCAAGATTGGACAACTTGCTGGTGAGTTCCTGATTATCACACTGCTTGTTGCCCCTAGTCTAACCGCGTTTCCTCTGTTAGGGCAAATAAATCAGCATAAAAACCAGACTGCGCCATCACAACCATCGCGTGGTGGATATCCTCCGTCGTCCTATATTTCACATCACCCTCGGTATCACGCAGGATGGGCTCCCTACCGTGGAAGGAGTAGACACATAGGATCCAGGCGACATACAGCCCCTCATCGAAATCGAACACTTGTTCTTAGCAACCTGGCTTCCCCCTCAGAAAGCCCAGGTTGTCTGTCATCAGGTAGTACATCTACTGGTGAAGTGAATGATACTAAGTCTGGAAACCAAAATGGATGGGTTGCCAAAAGAGACCGCCACATACAATTAATAAACTCCGCAATATACGACAAAGAAGCTCAGGCTAGAACCAAAGCTATTGAGGAGAGCCGTAAGCTCAAGGCTCAGAAAAGGGCACTCCGAGAAGAGGCGAAAGTCTTAAAACATGTTCAGGGCATTGGCGGGTACAAGCCTGTTCCTTCGCAAGTTGGCGGGAGGCAAGCGGCTTCCTTCCAGATCACCATTCAAGGAATTCCATTCCAGGTTGTTCAAGGCGGGAGCAAATTAATTAGGCTACCTAGTGAGATCGTTTGTCCCTATGGATGCGGAGTTCGGAGCCGACTGACCCTTTTTAAGATGAACCGTCGGCTGCGAGCGTTACTCCGAAGAAAGTTAACGTCGGTGGTGTAAATTTCGTGAGAAGCAAGAAGGGAAACTTGCATCGTTTAGGATCAGTGGTTTCAAGAAGGTGCGTACCTGATTGTTGGGATATTAATTCATTCCCCCCTGTTTATTAACTAATTGTAAACTCAAGGAAAAATATGCCGATTAAGAAGAAAGTTGAGCTGTGCAAAAGATTTACTTCGACGGGTACCCGATTCTCTCCCTCCGAAGATTTTACAGCATCTACTAAGATAATGATATCGATCAAACATAAAGTTTGTGTCAAAGGAATAATGTTTTTAGGCGTACTGACTTGATATCTTTTTCTAGGCTCATGTTTCAAGGGCCCTAATTGCCCGTACATCCACGATCCCCACAAGGTTGCCATCTGCAAAGAGTTTCTTCAGACGGGCAAATGTCCAGCTGGCTTGGCGTGCGACCTCTCACATGACCCGAGCCCTGAAAGATCTCCCGCGTGCTTGCATTTTCTTCGTGGGCGCTGCTCTAATCCCTTATGCCGATATGCACACGTTCGAGTGAACCCAGGTGCACCTGTTTGTCGCGATTTTGCTATTCTTGGCTACTGTATCAAGGGAGATACCTGTGATCAGCGCCATGTCCATGAGTGTCCTGACTATGCTAACACGGGGAACTGTGGGAACCGGAAATGCCAGCTCCCTCATGTGGACCGTGCCGGCCAAATTCGCAAAATTGCAGCTAACAAGGCGGAGACTTCTGATAAAAGAGACAACGCTGATGACGATGACATATCCAGTGAGGAAGAAACTTACGATGAAATTGATTCAGATGACGTTGACTCCGATGATCTTGAAGATGATTCCGTAATCGTCACCGAGGACCTTGACACCGGCGAAATTTCACAGCAACAAGACTTTGTACGTTTCTCATCCTTAGCTTAGCACACCAAATCCGGCTTTCATCGTCTGTAGCAGCTAAAAGCTCGGAACGCTCTACCTCGGATCAGTTCTCAAGATTTTCTTTTTCGTTCTTATCTTTTAAGGGGAATGAATTGGCGTAAAGCTTCGATCCCACACAAAAGCTTCACTTGCCTCCCCTTCACCTCTTACTCTTCCTTCAGAAAGACACGACGGTGGTCGACGTTCTTTGAATTCCAGGTAGGGGTAAAATACATGATGCCATACGGCGTATTTGTCGGTTTTCTTTAATTTTCTACCCGAGCTATGTCTTCTGAGCCGCCATCTTTTAGATGGTGTTGTAGACTTCCATTCCCTTTTGCTTTTATCTCTGGCTACCCCTTTTGTTATTATTGAATATTTTCAGTGAGGCTATCGGAATGGGAGATACCCTTTTGCTATTTCTCCTTAGTTTAATACCACTTGATGTCTCACTCGTGGGAAGATTCCTCCTAGACGAGGCAGACAAAATAATATGGAAGAGAGAGAAATATAAATCTCACTCTAAAGTTATTGTATTCTAAAACAAAAATACGATTCCTACCAACCAATTCATTTAGCAAAAGAAAACCATAAAAAAAGAAGAGTTGCAAATATTATCCATTCTTTTCACAATTGGAATGCTTTCACATGCCGCTTGAAGAATTGAGGAATGGGAGGGAGTACTTGCATATACATACATATACCTCATAAACCCCATTTGCCAGATATGACAGGTCGGTTTAGAGACAATAACAAAGAGGGGAAGAATGAACTATTAAGAAGGGTTTAACTACCAACCCAACCCCTCTGTGCAGAAAATAGAAACTATATATATATAACAAGGTCAAAAAGAGGAGAAGGTTGGTAGACAATTGGAAACAAGCAACTCCAACAACACAGAACGTGAGGGGCTGACTTTCAGGTTCAACCGTCCCAATGAATTTGTCCGTTTCTTCATTCTGTTTCAGTCCCTCATTTTATGCTGTTGCAGTCGTAGTTGTTTATATTGTCGATGTCGTCGGGCATTAAGCCATGCATAACGCAGGATAACTGACATGCAACTGCAGGGTCTGGTGTGCGCTGTTTTTGTACTCCGTAATCTGCTATATACTCGTGTTTTGCTTCCTGCAGTTGAAATCCGGGAGGTGGAGGAATAGGGCTTCCATCTTCTTACGGGTGCTGGACCAGTTACATATCTAAACGGAGGAGAATTAAATGTTTCCTGTTTCTCAGGTGTAATTAACCTTTTATATATTTCTCGGTCTCATACAGATTCAATTCCCCTTTCCACCCTCCCCCAAACTGTTCCGTGTTTAGACGTTAAAGCTAATTCCACTTCCTTTGTACGGAGGATGTAATTGACGTAACTAAAGGATATACAAGTACAAAACTCGTCCAGGGGGCCCGGCAATTTGGACCATGAAACCGGCGGATGCAACATTGCAACAAAAAACAACAACGGAGAAATCCAGTTCAAATTCCTTTCAAACGTGGCGGGTAACTTAGTTGTGGAATAGGATTTTGGTGATAACAATAACCAACTTCGACCAGCTCGTGCATAATACACACCCACAAATGAATTCTCTATGGTTGGTGGAACACATGAACTGAACCGACAAAACTGCCAGGCCAACCTATTGCCACAGACTGCGTGTAGGGCTCTCATTTTGCTGGCTAGCTGTTGGGGACTACGATGGAAAAATGATAATATGGACGGGTCTTAGCGTGACATTCCTGGAGGAGGATATCGGTGATGCTCATTTATGGATTTGTTAGATTTTAATTCTGACGTTATATCCTTAAGTTGAAAATGCAAGTAAGAGGGAGATGTTGGACATAACCGTCTGTGCATGACATATTTCTTCATTCGTTAACGCTACAATACATGGATTGTTTTTCAATGTAATGTTCTATAGTTACATTGATCTGCGCGTGAGCTCAGGAGTGGCGATGATAGATAGATTGATATTACAGCACTTTTTGTATCATTAGTTGATATACATACATGTGCATTGATATCTCTGAAACATATGCCAAATTCTAGTAATTAGTCAACTATCATTTAAGTAAATAAATACCTAACAAGGAGGAGGCAAAAATGATGCTGATGAAAATGATGATGAGACTGTTCTTCTTGCAGTGAAGAAGTCAAAGCTAAGATTAATCGAGAAATGAGCAATAAATTCAGCATGTGGATCTCTCCATATTCAGATATGAGAGTGAGAAATGAGTGAAGATGGTGATTTTATCTGCATACGCGGTTGATCAATTAAATACCTGTTGAAATTGGTGAAATTTCCATTGCGGTAGCCTCTGAATATAAACCTCGATATCATCAATATTAGCAAATATGAAACAAATACGCTCATATTTGACAATGAACAAAATGGAAACGTGGCAGGAGAAAATCCGCAAACAGCAATCTATCAAAAACTCCGTATCTCTCATACCGCTAACTGCGGGCGATGAAGCACACTCATAATTCTATCGGAAAGCCAGGAACCGCTGTCAGGAGGCGTAGACCTCGGAAGTATCTAGGTATCCTTCTTTAGTACAGACTAAATCTTGGATTAAATTAAAAAATAAAATAGAAATAAGGCTTCTAAACGCAGCATTATCGAAATAGATGAAAAGAAATATAATTTCTGTTCCCTTTCTCACGGAGAAAAGCTCAGATTCAGGGGTTCGCTTAGTTAACAATAGCCGCGTAGTTAATATGAATCTTGGAAGCGCCCAAACCCACTGAGATTTGTCGCTTGTCTAGTTAACTAGCCAATTATATCCTGCTATCATGCTTTACCCCCCACGGCGAATCATTCAGTCTCAGCTCGGTCATCCTCATTTACAAGTAATTGTATGCCATCGACAATTGACATAACCAGTGATAAACCGTTTTTGATACTGCTCTTATCGAGAACATGAAAGAAGAAGAAGAATCGCTCAAGAGGAGAGATTGAAAGGCCTCCACGAGATGTTCTCCACTGGGTAATAATTGCGGGACATTGGTACCACGAGCCATGGAACTGCAATAACTAATGGATACCTGGGTATTTGGGAGGGGAATTTACAAAAGATCTCCAGGTTGTTTCCTTCTAAGCTCAGCGCTTTTCTAGTTACCATTTGGGCTATTTCTCATCAATGACCCCTCTTCATCGAACTGCCGATCATCGGATAACCCCGCAATGGAAGGAAAAAAACCCGTGTTTCTGCAGTCTTTAATCAACCTTCAGCAAAAACGCCTCAAGCCCATATTCACTTCGATCACAACGCCCGCCAAGCCACAACCCCGCTATTCAACAATACGGGCACTCATCACTCATACATCAACAAACTGTGAAGAATAAAAGCCCTCCTCCCATCCCTCCCAAGACAACAAGGCCATTAAGGACCCCAAAAGAACATGCCTTGAACCATGGAAGAATTTCATCCTGTCGGTTGTTGAATTGGAATGGACCACACCAGCCCAGGCCAAATAAGTGGTGAGCAAGGTTAAAGTTGGCAAGGCTCATTTTATGCACCACGGCCCGTTCCCCGCCCTCTCCGTTCCGTTGATGGATCATGACATATCACGCTTGATCCCTCGTGTTATTGGCTTTTGTTGCCTTTAGGGATTATTGAAGATTGTTCTGTTGCATTTGAATTTTGAGACTCACAATAGGGTGTGATAAGATAGTAACTATTGTTTTTGTTGGAA